TCGAATATAGTTTCTGACTGTGGTCTTTAATCACCGCACGCAGTTGTTTAATTTTAATTACTCCCTGGAAAATTTTCCTCGGAAAATATTCCGAATGTAAACACAGCAGTTTTACAGTCTCTTGTTTTGTGCCTGCCGCAGAGGGTCATATTGTGAAATAAATATTTTCTCTCTCAATTGAATTGAATAAATCAAACCAAATATGTTAATTAACTGAAACCACCAGTTGATTTAACTTTGTCCTCTTAAATATCATCGCTAATTAGAGCGATGGAAATTGTACAGAAGGAATTTCAAGAGATGAATTTGAAAATGGCAATTAAAATACAATCCTATGAATTTAATTCATGTCGAAACTTTTAATAAAAAAATGGATCATACATTAATTTCAACTACTCTATATTATTTAGATAAAAAAATAATTCTAGTAAATGGCAAAATTTATTAAAAAAAAATTACATATATGTGTGTTCAAAAACAAAATAAAAAAGTTGGAGGCGCCGGGCATCGATCCCGGTACCTCTCGCATGCTAAGCGAGCGCTCTACCATCTGAGCTACGCCCCCCGATACAAAACTGTTTCTATTTATAATTCACCTATTTATTAAGCAATCCACTACATTTCTTGTAAGTGTATTACAAGTATATTACATATACCTAGGCACATGTAAGGCCTTTGTTTTCCTTACAAACCAGTACCAACTTCCTTTAGGCTACAGATTTTTTTTTTTTCTTCATTGGATATCAAATTTTGACAAACTAGACGTACCCAAAATAACGAAAAAGTCGTCAGTCGATAACAATTTAAATGCGAATATAAAAAAATAATTCTTATGATAGACTGTTATCTCCCTAAAAGTCCTTTTGTACATTCAAAATACGTGTATGCGAAGATATGTAGGAATTCAGGAATTCTGAATAGTTTAGTATTGATAACATTGACATATTGGGATACAAATCATATTACAATGTACATACTTTTCTGAAGCTTGGGAAATTGGAAAAAAAACATGAGTTTTCAAATTTCAACAGGACTCGCCATAGTATGTCCCGTTCAAAAATTTATGTTGAATTTTGTAAAATTGTATGTAGACAGTGCAAACAGTCCATTTGAATGATCATTCGAGATATTTGAATGTTGGTTATGGATCAAAACCTTGGGTGAGTTTTTCCATTAGCAGACTATGAAATTTAGTCATATTCGAAGAGGAAAATACTTTAAAGTAATTTGAATTAATAAGTATCATCTAAAAACAAATCGCTTTTTACTAGAACACTTGTCTTATCGTGCACATGTTCTGAAATTTATGTTAGGAAATGTTATGCTGAACTGAACAAAGACCTTATTGCTTTTTAAAACATCTTGCTTTATTTAAATAGAAAAATATGTTAAAGTAATGGTTGTTTATTATTTGCCTCTACCTTTGATTGAATAGAAAAGTGCATCATATCTCTATTTTTTAGCGAAACGTTACTTGATAAAACTGTAATATATGTAGTTAGTTATAGGAACGTTTCTTACTTTGATACACATACCTTAATTTATAAAAATTAAGTATGTCAGCGCAATATCTAAAGTGAATTATTTACGTAATATCTATTAACAAATCAATTATGCCGAAACCATCAATCATACTTATTTAAATAGATATGCCTAGAAGTATCGATAAATGTCTGTGAATAAATAGGACAGTCTCATACTATTGTTGATTAGATTTACTCACACCTAGATACGATCTAATCACTAAAGTTGCAAAATTCATAACTTTTTTATAATGTACGTGTAGTGTAATAACAACCATTTATACTTTAAAATGTTTTGCATTGTATGTTAATGATAATTTTGATTATACTTTTTAAACAAATTTAAAAACATGTTCTTATGAATTTTTAGAGCCCTAAGTATGGCACTGAATAATACAGAAACCTCTCCAAATAATTTAAAAGAAAATACACCTTTTCTTAATTTGTTATTATAATTTTTAACCTACTGAAACCCTTTGGCATTATGCCAGCAATACTATGACAAACCTTAAGTTCTAAGTAGAAAATCAAATATCATTTTTTTCCTAAAGTTATCAGTATGTAAAAAAAGTAATAGTTTTCAGTATGTAAAATATAAATAACATTATCATCGCTAAAAAATACCTGATATGAGCAAGAACATTTTTCATTTCATTTTCACAAAAAAAAATAGTAGTTACAAGTTTTTTATATACATTTTGATAGGACTAGCCGTAAATAATAACCGTAAATCAATTAAAATTAACGTAATTCAAGAGACCATTAAAAATATACTTATGGCGCCCCTAAGAATCTAACATTTATATATTAATCTGCCTACCATCCAAAAAATACGTACCTATCTATAACTGAATAAAATTAATTTACTTTAGGAAATGTAGGAAAGAAGGAGAAGGAAATTAAAGTTCAGGTGATGGATATAATATTAAATTTTCGTATAAATAATATGAACGTAACTTCTAAAATTGAACCACATACCGACAGAACAGATCTTACAGATACTATTTCTAATAACTACAAACGCCTCTGTTGCAAAAACAAACGTTTATTTGCACTGCATACCAGTATCTAAACCCTACTCAAATACGAATAGAATTTTCCAGCACGAACTACACCCCCGAGAAGCAGCTCCATTGTGTGTAGTGCTAATAAAGGCTTGCTCGTCGATGTGTGCCAAGAGAGGGATTAAGTTGTAGGTTTCACAACACAAACGTCTCTTGTATCGTAGAAAATGAACAAAAGTTCATGTAAAAGTAAGCAGTTTTCAAATGGAATTGTAAATTGATACAATTTTTTATTCAAGACCTGCTCTGTTTCCAAATAAGCAAATAGCAAAAAACGTAATTGATTTTTAGATTGCCATCTTTACCTAAATAATAGGTTGTTGGTTCTATTTCCATTTAAACAACAATACACTATTTTTTTTCATATATCAATGCGAACCTGTTTGAATTACATGAATTCGTTTTAAATAAAACAGTCTACAATATTCCTCTTCAAACTAGAGTGGTTACATCAATTTAGTTAGATTGGTTTTATTGGTATCTCTCAACATAGGTACTGAGACTTAATATATTACACAGTCCAATTTTGTATTGTAATAATTAAATTCAGTTTTGATTATTAATATTTGTTTCGAGCCCAATTTTTAATCATTGAGGTTATGTATGAACTGTACTGTCGTAGTCAAATACTGAAAATCCAGTTTCCAATTCAGTTCAAGAATAATTCCAAAACCATTCACGAGGACCAAATCCCACCAAATTTCAACGATGTTTCAAAATTTTCTCAAAGTTCCCCATTCCCAAATAGTACGAAATTCGGACTGATGTATCATAACACCATAAATCATTAAACTTAGTTACATGTCAATAACCCTTTCGAGGTAGCCACCATCACAAAATGAGTTTTTCGAAGAGGCAAAATTTCATAATTCAACAGAAAGAGCACTATAGGACCTCTACGGACCGAGCCTAGGGTGCGTTCAAACGTCAACCCTTTAGAATTAAGAAAAACATTGTAATAAATAATACTTAAGTTTTCAAACAATATTTGACAACTGAATAGTTGTAACAGTGAATATAAAAAAAACATCTTACTTTCCTCCATCCTTTCGGAAAATACATATGTGTATCATATACAGAGTTCAATTTGTGATCGTAATATACATCAGACAGAAACACACATATTTCATAACAAGTGATCGTTGAATGGCTCCGAAGAACATAAATACCTATCCATATAAATTTGAATCGATAGCTAGTGTACATTATTCGAAATATACGACTAGCGAGGATATATTTGAATGAGAAAAGTGTTGTAAATTTCATTCAATTGTAAATGTATCTTTTATTATGAATAATGTATGGATTGAATGACCAAACTGTTGCATGTCCAATGTATAACGGTTAAACATGTTACGAAATCGGTCTATTGTTTGTTGTACTGATCGTTAACCTCTAAGGAACGACTATCTATCAGGGTTTATGACAGCATCTCAACGGAATACACATAATCCTATCTAGAAGAGTCAGATGACTCTAATTAAACGCTGTGAGAATATAAGCACTGTTATTATTACTATTTACAAATATTGTTTGTTTACAATTTTTTCTTTTTTGCTTACTATACAAGTATTTGTAACTCGTTACAGATCTGTAACAATATTTTTTCACGTCTGAAGATGAACATCACAACGTTCTTTGATTAGTTTTTCTTGTTCAGTATTGTTACATTGTAATAAAAAAAAATTCAATTTTCTCGAAAACCTTCTTTATTACAGTTTTTCAATTTACCGTCACTTATGGGGTCAAGATAATTTTTGTCGAGGTCACTATGATAAAGTAACATCAACAAATCATTTTCAAAATGCTTCATTGATTCCTAGTACGTTTATGTTAATTTTAGTCAAAGAGCACCAAAGTTTGTAAGTCAGCTTAAAGTTGTAGTTGTTGGAAAATTTACTGTAAAAATGAACTGTTTATCACAAATAATCTTCCTGAACGGAACCTATTTAAATAACAGTACAACAGATTAATTTCATAATAATGGCATATTATTTATTAGATAATTAGTAGCTTGTTGAATATGAGATGTGTTAGAAGATAATAATAATTGATAGCCGTTATAAAAATCAAGAATTATTCTACTCGTTTATCAAAAAGCCGCCCTCATTATATAAACAGATAGGCAGACAATAAAGAAACAATATAAAGCAATGACTATCATGTAATTCACCAAACTTCATTAAGCAAAATGTCAAAAATGTAATTTTGCTGGTGATAGTAATGTACAAATAAAACAAATCTATATTATTATATTCATGTAGCTATATTTTCATTAGTTTTATGCAGCAAATAAAATAATCTGGAGTTAGTTCTATATTTTATTTAAAAAAATGAACATAAATATAAATAAAGTACATATAAACCTACAAAAAAAAATATAAATTAAAATATATTTTTTTTTAAATAGCATCTAGGTATCCTCCAAACTATTTTCCAAAGACGACTTTTTAGGTATTATCGATAGCTTCTTCTCTACTGAATCTGAAGATGTGTCTATTCCATACTCCTTAGGATCGTCCTTGAAAAAACAGAACTGGGTGAAATATTCCAGATAATCCTTTTCCCTTTCAGTCAAAGAGCGTGGAGGCGGTTGTACTCTCTTTGGGGGGTTTACTGGAGGAGTCCGCTTTTTCAGTTCTGAAAAATTTATTGATCAAAATTCAAAGGCGATAAGAAACCACTATTTATTTCCTAATTTTGTTTACATCCTATCTTCATTTAAAACCTTACCTCTTTGCGTTCTTCTTTGCTCTGGAGGATCATATGCTCTTCTTATGTTATTCGTAATTCTTTCCAATTCATCATACTGTTTAGCTGCTCTTTCCGCCAATCTCATCATCATAATCTCTTCCTCATAGTAAGAGCCTTCCAATGATGCCAGTTCTTTACTAGGTATCTACAAAAATTATTTCTTACGGCAGCAACAATCAAACTGGATATTTGTTTGTACACATCTCATTACTTAAGTTCTTTTATAAAGACGTAGCTGGATGAAATGTGTACCAATAATTTGTAAAATTATTTTATCTTAACACCAACAAGAAGTAATATAGTAAACAATTATACAAATTATATACCATATCGAAGAAGAGCAGTTCCCGTCTGTATAACTCCTCGACCGCTTTCATCATTTCTACAATGTTGATGTTTGCATCATTTGGACCTATTCTATTCTCATAAACATCCTCGACTATCACTTGCAAGTTGAGAACATCCTCTTCTACTATTAGGTTCTTGAATTCGTTTTCGATGAGATTTGTTGCAAGTTCCTCCAGATATTTGACGCGGTTTTCTTCCCACCTAAATTCATCCAACAAGGAATTAGTTGGTACATAGGCATGTCTTAGGGTATTATTATTACACAGATTTCTATATCTTGAAACTAGAACTATACAGTATTGAGTATTCCCAAAAAGCTTATAAAAATATGCCCTACATTTGTAAAAAATAGTTAAAACCAAGAAAAGAGGATTATTATTATCATGGCTCTTTCTAAGAATTGGTTTACGAGATATTGCAAGTTTATTAAATAGCTAAGCGACATCTACTTCTTTAAAATATCTACTTTTGTAAAGCGATAAACCAAACTTTACAAAAAATACATTTGGACAGTATAAATTCGCACAAAAAGCAACAACCAAAAACTGGCATTTTGCTTATCCTAACTGTTATTAATCGTTTAATCGTAGATTCATCAATAGTGGCTTCAGTGAAATGATACTTACAATATCCCTCCCTCCAAAACGTCAACAATTTCTTGCAAGTTCTTGATTTCCTTATCGAATGCTTTCACAGCTGACTTCATATTATCCTTTATGCCCTCCAATGGCCGAGCCAACTGTTCGGTGTGTAACAAGGAATTCAGATTCTGCATTTCCATGAACCTGAAAACGTCCATGAGCTCCTCAGGCTTAGTAAAATAGAGCAGCGGAGGCGCGTCATCAACAGTCTCTTCCATAAACTCATCTACAATGTCCTGCAGAGAGATTCCCTTTGTTAAAATTGACTTTCGGTAGAGCCCAGCCATGAATTCGTCAGTAGGGTCCTGCGGCTTATAGATGCTGGTCCTACGTTGGCTCAATTTCTGCTCCGTTTTCCACGACAAGGGGCTGACGGCGTACAAGAATTTCTGGTAAGTTTTGCACATCCTCCATTTGTCCTCTACATTAAATAATGAAGAGTTTAGGGCGGCATGCTTTTGGGCAACTGCGTTGTGCTCGAGGTACTTGTTGAATGTGATTTTGGACACCTCGTCCGATTCTCGCAAAAGCCTCATCGCAGAGGAATGGTCTTCGAGCAAGAAGTTTTCGAATGTGTCTACATAAGATTGTAAATTTTCTTTGACGACGTCTATTATGGTTTGTTCCAGTAGTAGTGTTTCATCTATCAGTGCTATGTCGTCTTCGCGGTACCCAATTACAATTTTTGTCCGCAGAGAGTCTCGAACTGTTTCGATGTATTCCCTTATGTCTAGCTTCTCTGGAATGGGTCTACCTGCAGTAAATAGATGCCATAGACATATTTTGTAAATATTTATCTAATTATTATTATTATTATTATTTTGATGATTGAAATATCCTAATAAACGTAAAGATAGATTACTATGGTTACTAATAGAACTTACCCTGAATTATTTTGAAATAGTTCGGGTTAATATCAGTAACAGTTCTCATGCCCTCCGCAGGAGTTTCCTCCACGTACAGTCGCTTCAGCAAGTCCAACTTCTGTTTTTCCTTGTAGCTGGTCCTATTGAAGTATTTATCTTGCAACTCTTCAATTCTTCTGTCGTTTCTCCATGCCTTAGTCATAACACTATGAGCAAATATCTCCATGTCTTTGGGATAGGAAAACGGCGACCGTTCTTTTTCCAAATGTCTGGCATTTTTTTCATTCACTGCCACGCCAGCGGTCAAATACCTCTTTTTCACGGGATGTTTGGTTTTCAGTATCTGCTTTATAGGTTTCTTATGTTTCACTACGGCTTTCCACGGTACCAGTGGTGGTGGGTCATTCTGTGGTATGACTGAACTCTCATCTTTTATAGGAAGTTGATCTGGTGGAGTAGATGTTGAAAGGACGGGGTATTCTGAAGAGAATTGCTCAGACATTACAGACGTCACAGCGCGAGTGCCGCCTACTGAAAATAGAACAGCGGGAGTTTTATCCATATCACCATGGTAAACTGTTTAATCGCGAAGCGACGATGTTTGCAGTTCAGAAGTCAACTTCCTGCATATAGTCCAGTCAATTGACCATTTTCCCTTATAATTTTGCCAAACAACACCGATTTTCATAAAAATTTGGATTTAGGTTCTATTTACCCTCTACTTCAAAGTTGACCTTGCACCGGGTGTTGCTTTTACCCTGGGGGTGAAAAATGTTTCGTTGAAAATAACTCCGGGAATGGATATATTGACTAATTCTAAACAACTTTCGTTCTATAAAATTTGTTCTGAACGTCAATACTTTTCGACTTATTCGCGAGTGAAGATGTAAGTTTTTTACCTAAAAACTTTTGCAATAAAAAAAAGTTTCGTTATAAAAATAAAAAAATTAAAATCCATATAAAAATATAATTCTTATTTTCCCTATTTTTGATTGCAAATTTTAATCAGCAGGGTTTTTTTTAAGGTTTGATAAAATAAATACATTACATTTTAAATAATAAAAAGATTGTATTATATTTTGAACCAAAAATTTTTAACTATAATTGTTCGATTTTTTTGCAAGGTTTTTATAAGGGTTGAATCTTATAAATAAATAATAAAAAACTGAAACAGTAAAGAAATTTTAATTTAATGTCACTATATGATTAAATTATTCCAAGTTGCTGAATAATATTTTTCAACATTATTTTTTAATGATTAATGATTACTGTAATAGGGGGTGGTTTTTCATCATAATTATTTATTTAAAGATGATTTCAACATATTACACGCTCGAATCTACAACTCTATAATTATTTTCGAATAGGGGTAGTTTTCACCCCTAAAAAAATAAAAAGGAACCCCCGGCACTGTGTCAACTTTGAAGTAGAGGGTAAGTAGAACGTAAATCCAAATTTTGGTGCAAATCGGTGCTGTTTGGGAAAATTATACAGTAACGCCGTATTTTGCCTTCAATAATAATAATAATATCTCTACTCCTCATTCTAACTACGAAAATTAGCCCAGAAGTCGGAGACTTGTGCGAGAGAGGAGGCGGCATATTATTATTACTCAGGCCGCATTTGCGTCCAGGAACGAGTTATGTTGGTAGGCGCTAACCACCATTCAGTGCAGGAATGAGGGAAACCTGGAAAACTTCATTAATTAGGGGATTGGTCAAATGCCAACCGGTGTCAATCTCTCACATTGACCCAAGCCAACATTCTTCCACCCTACCATACCTACACATAGAGTGCCAATCCTCCGTACAAGTATAGCTACTCTACAGTCTACCGGCCGCGGGATTCGAAACCCGGGCAGATCGACACATCGAAGTACTGACGCCTTAAACCGTGCGGCTATCGACCGGGTTTCAATGACTGGACTAATATGTTATTTACTATGTTGCTTATTAATAATGAACTGTTGAAACTAAACTCGATAAATTCCTGAAATGTAGCAGCGTGTATGATTTATTAAAAAAGTACTTAAATGGGCATTTAGTTATATCAATTTTATTTAAATTATTTGGTTACAATGTGTATCTGATTGGTTAACTCACTCAAAAGTCACATTTTTAGCTGCTTCCTCCGCGAGCTTTTTTGTTTTATTATTTGTCGCATCTTGTGAAAAGCGTTGAATTCCGTAGTTGCCAGGATTATCTGTATATTCACAGAACTCTGTAAAAAATTCAAGGAATTCTCCTTCTTCTGCAGTTAAATGAAGGGGTGGTTCCTCTTCCTTGAGGGGCTGTTTTAGTGGGGGGCTTCTGTTCTTAGGCCCTAAAAATTAAATTGATTTTGTTACTTATTAACTGTCACTATACTATAGTATTACTCTAGTGTTGATTTGATTAGTGTCGTCAAGGTCATAAATACAGGGTGTCCCAAAAGTGACGCCCGTCCTTCTGGGTTTTGATTAAGGGGACAAAAACAAATCGAAAATCAAGAATGGAAAATTTTAAGATTGTTTTTCTTTGTTGAGTTATTCCAAAAAATTATTTTAAAAAACTAGAAATAAACATTTGGGCTGGGTTATTAAATAATTATGTAGTTCACAGCGATATTTACTGCAACTGTATGTTTTTAAATGAAAACTTACTATTGCCATTGCTGGATGACGTTCCGTTTGCAGTTAGACTAAATTATTGGTTTCAACATGATGGAGCTCCATCACATTATGGTTTGTGAGTATGAAATTATCTGAATCAAAACTTCCCAGACAGATGAATTAGAAGAGGTGGATCCATAGCATGGCCTCTTAGGTCGTTAGATCTGAATCCCCTAGATTTTTTGGGGTTATTTAAAAGAAAATATTTACAGCAAACCTGTGTAAATCCAGAAAATGTAGTAGCCTGTATACACGCTCCTGTAGCATTAATAGACCAACAGATGCTACAAAGGGTTCAAGCTTCAATGTTGAATCATGCCTATCTTTGTCTTAGAGTAGAAGGCAACTTATTTGAGCACCTTTTGTAAAAACATTTTCTATTTATTTAAGGACGTTATGGTTTTTTTCCTCTCCATTTTATAAAATTGTTTTATTATTAAAATGTTTTCTCTGTCCTTTTCGGGTTAAAATTATTCTTTACACCCAGGTACAACCGATAATCGGAAACTATACTTACCTACTGTTGGTTATAAATTATTTGTCTTGGTCCCCATAAGCATATACCTCAGTTTTGGGACGAAAAAATTGGATTTTCACTACTTTAGTTTTTTGAATAACTCAACAAAGAAAAACAATCTGAAAATTTTCCATTCTTGATTTTCGATTTGTTTTTGTCTCTTCCCGTTTCAGTTTCATTATAGACTTTGTATCTGGCTTTAACTGTTCAGTTCAATGTAAAACGAAGACGAATAGAATTAAAATCGTATTTAACTATTTTATTCTACTACCACTATACAGGGTGTAACTAAATAAGTGTAAAACGCTCATCGAAAAAAAGATAGGATCTTTCATATAAAGAAACTTCATTGGAGCATCCCTTGTTAAGATACAGCCCCGTAAAGGGGGTACATAAAATTTGTTTAACAATTTATTTGTTTAACAATTTTTTTGTTACAATATTGAAATTAACCTGACATTTTCTACTACCAAAAAGACACTTAGCCAGTAATTTATTTGGTTTACCCCATGGTTGTAAGGGGTGGAAAACGCAACCCCTAAAATTTATTTCCAACGTAATTTTTTGTCTTATTATTTTTTTACCATTTAAAAATTTATTTCCGATAGCCTGTTTCATTCTAAAAAAAAATGTCTCTTGAATTTTTTGCCCAAATTAAACCAGTTCGCAGCAAAAAATTATTTTACGAACAAGATACATATCGCCATAAAACGAAAATACGAAACTAATTTATCTAGTAGGCCGCCATTAGCGATACTGACAATTAAATTGGAATCAAGCTGTCAGTTTGTAAATTTTTGAAATTGAAGTAATACTAATTGTGTATTGTTCTGTTCTTAATTTGTTACTTTAATAATTCACTTGTTATTAAAATGGCATACACAAATGAGGAAATGGCTGATATGCATTACGTTTACGGTCTGTCGCAGGGGAATGGGTTAGAAGCTTCTACAAGATATGCTGAAATGTATCCTCAACGGCAGCATCCTTCACATAGAATATTTGTCTGACTTCATCAACGATTACGTGAATATGGTTCATTCAACAAAAGAACGCAGGATTGTGGTCGCCATCGAGAAGTAAGAACACCACAGCTTGAGGCAGCAGTACTTAATTTGATAGAAGAACAACCTACTACCAGTACTAGAAAGATTGCTTTCCAGCTAAATGTTGATCATATGACGGTATTTCGAATTTTAAAGGAACATCTCTTATACCCTTACCATCTGCAACGAGTACAGGCACTGTTACCGCGAGACTTTCCGAACCGTCTTGAATTTTGCAATTGGATGCTGGAAATGATTAGAAGAAATCGTGACTTTCTGAAGACGATCGAATTCACAGACGAATGTAGTTTTTCTCGGGACAAGATTATTAATTTTCATAATTACCACATATGGGCTGATGAAAACCATCACGCTATTGTCGAAACTAACCATCAAGAACAGTTTTCTCTTAAGGTGTGGGTCGGAGTTATTGGGGATTATTTAATTGGGCCTCATTTTCTACCTCCTCGATTAAATGGTGAGGCATACGTTCAATTTTTAAGAAAAGTGCATCCCCCCGTACTGCTGGAGGAAGTTCCTTTGGGCGTCAGAAGGGATATGGTTTTTATGCATGATGGGGCTCCCGCCCATTTTAGTCAAGTAGCACGTCAGCATTTAACTGAAACATATGCAAATCAGTGGATAGGTCGAGGAGGACCACAGAATTGGCCCGCTCGATCCCCGGATCTCAATCCTCTGGATTTGTCTACTTGGGGCCATTTGCAGCATTTGGTTTATCGTACTCCTGTTCGCGATGTAGAGGACTTAAGAAACCGCATTATCGATGCGTGCAGGGTAATTAGAGAGACTCCAGGAATATTTGAGCGAATACGTGGCTCAATGCGCCGACGTCTAGACGCATGCGTAATGTCTGAAGGTAGACATATTGAACATTTACTATGATTTCTACATGTTGTATGTTTTGTTATTATTAAATTAGTTTTGATTATTCCCCTTTAATCATTTAATGCAGGTAGTAACTACAAAATAACAGTAAATCCAGTCCGCATTTATGACGATGTATCTCTGTAGTTGTTCGTAAAATAATTTTTTACTGCGAACTGGTTTAATTTGGGCAAAAAATTCAAGAGACATTTTTTTTTAGAATGAAACAGGCTATCGGAAATAATTTTTTAAATGGTAAAAAAATAATAAGACAAAAAATTACGTTGGAAATAAATTTTAGGGGTTGCGTTTTCCACCCCTTACTACCATGGGGTAAACCAAATAAATTACTGGCTAAGTGTCTTTTTGGTAGTAGAAAATGTCAGGTTAATTTCAATATTGTAACTTGTTTAGTGCTTGTGAAAAAAATTGTTAAACAAATTTTATGTACCCCCTTTAAGGGGCTGTATCTTAACAAGGGATGCTCCAATGAAGTTTCTTTATATGAAAGATCCTATCTTTTTTTCGATGAGGAATCACCCCCTTAAATGTTTTACACTTATTTAGTTACACCCTGTATTATCTGCGGCTTCGTGAAAGAAAAAGACTATTACTTCTTATAAAAGCAGTTCCTGCTGGAGGCGTGTAAGCCTTGTTCAAGTTCACAGTGATTTTCTCCAATTCGTCGTGTTGTTTGCTAGCCCTTTCCGCCAATTTCATCACCAACATTTCTTCTTTATAGTAGCTGCCTTCCAGCTGCGCAACTTGTACGCTAGGCACCTGTAATTTCAGTTTTATGTGTATTTATTTTAACTTCAGAACAACAGGATACATTTAAAATAAAGAATTACTATTTGGATTTGGACTAAGTTGTACTGGTTCAAGTAACATTGTGCTACCTTGTCCATCAAGAGCAGTTCATGTCTATAGCTTTCCTCAACGGCCTTCATCATTTCCCAGAGGCTGAGGTTTGCGTCATTCGGTCCCAATATAGCTTCATAGATATCCTCAACAAAAACGTGCAAATTAAGAATACTTTCGTCTATAATCACGTTTTTCAACTCCGTTTTGATTAGCTTCACTGCAAGTTCCTCGAGGTATATTACGCGTTGTTCCTCCCATCTAAGACATTAATAATTAATTAAATTTTTTTTATATTTCCGCGAATTTGTTAAAAAATAAAGGACCCCGCACAAACTTTATGGAAAATGGCTTTCGATCAAAATGGCTGAAATTTAAATATGATGTAGCTCTCACCTTCCTAAGCAAAAGTTATCATGGGCCCAAGGCGATCCTATGTGTTTTTTAAAAAGAAAAGTTCCTATAAACATATGTCGTAGAAGGCTTCGTTTCCGAGATACGGGGTGTTGAATATATTTTTTTTCCTCAAATATTCATTATAACTTATAAACGAATGCTTAGATTTTTTCATGTTTGGAAGATAATGTCTATTAATTAAGGGCATAAAACAAGCGATAAAAATGTTCAAAAACTTGCACAGTGGCGGAGTGTGCTCAACCTCTTTCTTAAACAGAACTTCTACGCCAATGACTATTTTAAAAAAAACTGTTATTTTCATTATCTACATATAGTTTAACAAAAATAATGTCCATTCTTCTGTCTCGAAATTCCTGTGCGTTTCCGAGATATTTTGATTTTTAGTGTTTGTTGTGGTACTAAATTAAGTAATTTATTTATTATCAATTATCGGCTAAATATTTATAGGACAACCATTATAGCTTTTTTCAGGAGAAAAATACTATTAGAAGTTTCTCTGCGGAATATTGTTCAGAAACATGTTATAAACAAAATATCAAAAAATCAACTCGAGACTAGTTGGGAAACTTAGTTAAAACAATGGTCAAAATCATGGGAAAGTTGTTTTTTGACTGGCGTAAAAAAACTGTTATTCATAGAGAAAAAAAGGTTTATACAAAAAAGGTAGGTATTAAATAAATCTGTAAAATAAGACAAGTCCGATTAAATTCCGATAATTTGTTTATGCGCAAGAGCTCAAAAATGGTCGAAATTGTCCGCTTTTTTCAATTGCTAATAATTAATGCAATTTTCATCGCAGACACTTGTAATTCAGGATTTTTTAAGCTTTTTGCACCCTTAATAAGTGGTAAAAATTTCAGCCCAAAAACTTCATTAGCTTGGCGTTGGCGGAATTTGTTATCTAAGAAGATGCTATTTTCAATTCATTTTTCCCAAGCTCACAGGCGTTGTAGGGTTTCGATCATTAGTTGTTTTTGTACCTAAATAGTTGTATTGACATATGCATTTACTGATAATTTAATTTTTCAAATTTAATTTGTTTAAAAATGACTGAAAAAATGTTAATATTTATTACATCGTTAAGCGCGCATGCTAAGCCTCGCCTTCCCCACTCGTTCGCTAGACCAAGTAATAGAACGCATCGCCGCTATCTTCTTTTTCGAAATTAAATAGTTGAATTCACCTTAATGTTAATGTAGGACATGAAAATATAGCTCTTAATGTATACTCTCTCCAAATTTCGGCTCTTAATATTAATAATTAAGGTCACTGCGATTAAATAAATAAAAAAAATTATCTCAGCTTCTAATCAACTTACAACAACGATTTTTTTTTAAATTCGAAGAAAACTAAAGTAAAGAGGTTACTATTTTATTTTATAATAATTACCTATCTTAACAATTTAATAAATATTAACATTTTTTCAGTCAATTTTAAACAAATTAAATTTGAAAAACTAAATTCTCAGTAAATGCCTATGTCAATACAACTATTTAGGTACAAAAACAACTAATGATCGAAACCCTACAACGCCTGTGAGCTTGGGAAAAATGAATTGAAAATAGCATCTTCTTAGATAACAAATTCCGCCAACGCCAAGCTAATGAAGTTTTTGGGCTGAAATTTTTACCACTTATTAAGGGTGCAAAAAGCTTAAAAAATCCTGAATTACAAGTGTCTGCGATGAAAATTGCATTAATTATTAGCAATTGAAAAAAACGGCAATTTTCGACCATTTTTGAGCTCTTGTGCATAAACAAATTATCGGAATTTAATCGGACTTTTTTCATTTTATAGGCTTATTTAATACCTACCTTTTTTGTATAAACTTTTTTTCGCTATGAATAATAGCTTTTTTACGTGAGTCAAAAAACCACTTTTCCATAACTTTGACCACTGTTAAAACAAAGTTTCCCAACTAGCCTCGAGTTGATTTTTTGATATTTTATTTATAACAGGTTTCCGAACAATATTCCGTAGAGAAACTTCTAATAGTATTTTTTTCCCGAAACAGGCTCTTTCATGTCTATAATGACTGGGGTATTAATTCTTTCAACGAAACCTACCTAAATATGGTTTGTTAAGGATTTTAAAACGCCGAAATCTCTTATTCTTTATCTCTTTCCAATGTAGTCAAAATAAATATTTATTATATCAAGCCATACTCAAATACAAGACTTTTATAAGTTGATATCTGTTACATTACATACATACAATACATTATTGTGCAGTTGCCAAAAAGTTGTAAGAAGTTGTTAATTAAGTATTGTTATAAATTCAAAAAATTTCTTCATAAACATTAACATCAATGTTCATTCAATGTTTTTTTTTTGTAATTTAGTTGCAGTACATTAGTATTTACGCAGCACATAATAAATATAAGGATTGTTAAAATTAGCGTATTAAACAGATTTCAACTTATAAAAGTCTTATATTTGAGTATGGCTTGATATAACAAACATTTATTTTGACTACATTAGAAAGAGATAAAGAATAAGAGATTTCAGCTTTTTAGAATCCTTAACAAACTATATTTCGGTAGGTTTCGTTGAAAGAATTAAATATTTAGCCCATAATTGATAATAAATAAATTAATTTAGTATCACATCAAACAATAAAAATCAAAATAACTCGGAAACGCACAGGAATTTAAAAACAGAAGAAGGGACATTATTTTTGTTAAACTGTATGTAGATAATGAAAATAACAGTTTTTTTTTAAAATAGTCATTGGCGTAGAAGTTCCGTTTAAGAAAGGGTTTGAGCACCCCCTCCACTCCGCCACTGTGCAAGTTTTTGAACATTCTTATCGCTTGTTTTATGCCCCTTAATTAATAGGCATTATCCCCGAAACATGAAAAAAATCTAAGCATTCGTTTATGTTATAATGAAAATTCGGGAAAAAATAATTATACTCGTATTCAACACCCCATCTCGGAAACGAAGCCTTCTACGACATATGTTTATAGAAACTTTTCTTTTTAGAAACATGTGTTCTATCTCCTGTTAAAGTTTGTTTTCAAAAAACTGATTCACCCTGTATATACGGAGAAAGGGAGATATACATACACCTATCCTGCACTTCATCAGCACCGTGCTATGAAACCGTTAGCTTCAAAGCTCTATACATATCTTTAAACCTACACATAGGATCGCTTTGGGCCCACGACAACTTTTGCTCAGGAAGGTGAGAGCTATATCATATTTCAATTTTAGCCATTTTGACCGAAAGCCATTTTCCATAAGGTTTGTGCGGGGTCCTTTTTCGTTGCTAAGAAGGACATAGACGAAACTTTTGTTTGACCACATCCCAGTCCCTCAGTGATACTTACGATATACCCCCTTCCAACTGTTCAATGATTTCTTCTAATTTTTTTATTTGGTTATCGAATAACGTCACCGCTGTTTTCATGCCCTCCTTGACGTTCTCCAATGGCACAGCCAGCCCTTCAGAGTGAAGTAACGAGTTGAGATTTTGCATTTCAATGAATTTAAGAACATCCAGCAGCTGCTCCGGCTCAGTAAAATATAACGCCGCATCCTTTTCGCCAGCAATCTCCTCTCTGAATTCCTGTATAATATCTTGCAACGATAAGCCTCTTTCTGCGAGAGACAATCGGTAATTCGCATATATGTCGGACGCATCCCCAGGTCTCTGCTGCAACATGTAAATACTGGTTCTTCTATTTTTCGGACAGTCCTGCTCCATCCTCCACGTCAGAGGACTGACGGCGTACAAAAATTTCTGGTAAGTTTTGCACTGCTTCCATTTCTGTTCCACATTGTACAGGGAAGAGTGCAGGTTTGCAAATTTCTTAGCCACTGCATTGTGCTCCATGTATTTAGCATACCCCGCAGTTGCCGATGTTTCGGACTGCTGTAAAAGATTCATAGCCGTCCTGTGGTCGATGATTAAAAATTGCTCGAAAATGTTTATATATTGCTGTAAGTTTTCTCTTATAGTGTCTATTACTTTTTGTTCTAGCTTCAACTCTTCGTCTATCAGCAGTATGTCATCTTCTCTGAAACCAGTCACAATTTTCGTCCTCAGGGATTCCCTAACTGTTTGGATGTACTCCCTGATGTCTAGTTTGTTACGAATAGGCCTACCTGAAACGTTTAAAGTCAACCATAAAAGCCACTGAGGGTGAAATTTGATATATATGTCTTACTTTAATAGAGTCTTGATTAAATGATACTACTACAAAATAATTAACTGACAAAGATGCAAACGCACGGAAAAAGTTTCTGGAGTTTCAATTCAACCACTTGTACTTGCCTCCAACTACAGTGTAATAATTTGGATCCATATTGAGCACCGTCTTCCCTTCTGTTATAACAGGTTTCTCCACATAAAGTCGATTCAACGAATCTCTCTTCTGTCTGCCTCTATAGTTCGGTCTATTATGAACCTTGTTCTGCAACTCCCGAATCCTCTTGTCATCCCTCCAGGCTTTGGTCATAACTGCGTGCGCAAACAACTCTATATCCCTGGGGTATTCAAAAGGAGATATTTCCTTCTTGAAATCTCTGGCAATGTTGTCAGTGGCCGTTTTGCTTGAAGTGAAATATCTGGGGATGATCGACTGTTTCGGCTTCAGAACGTCGTTTAGTTTTGTGGATCTTCGTTGTTTAATTGTTGACCCTCTCAGCGAGTGGACCTTATGTAGTGGCTCGTCCGACTCTGTGGAGCAACTTTCCGTTATTATGGGCAACTGATCAGGCAGGGATACTTCTTCTTCGCTGACCTCTTCTGACATCTTGAATGTCGGTATAGGAACAGTTAGAAATGAGGAAACAGCTTGGTCTGTGAATTCTGGAGGTGGTGACTGTTACGGAACTGAAATATTGAAAAAGAAATTTAGTTATTATTTTTTCCTTCTCGCATGAGTAAGAATGTTGTCCCTCATAAATTTTCCCAGCTTGAAAACACTTAAATAAACACTTCGTTGTGCATTTGACACATTACAGAAAATTATGTGTCAAACTGATTTACTTGCTGTAAGAAAATGGTGATAGTGACTGAGTTTCAAGTAAGTATCCGGTAAATAAATAAGAAAAAATGTTCATAATAAATATATCAAAAAATTGGAGTTGATATACGAACCTCTTAAATATACCTTCACTGAAAACCTATAATTTCAACACCACTGGGTATTTTATGAATTAGTTAAGTGCATTTAACTCCGGTTGGTGTTTCTAAGAAAAAAGGTACATCTTTTAAATCTTAGAAATGTTCCTCCAGGATCTTCGCTATTGGTTGACAGATTTATCGCACAATGAAATATTTAAAATATTACTTATTTGATTTAAAACTATGTCTTATAGACCATAAAAAATGGAACTATCTGAATCATTTTCTTCTAATAAAAACATTTCGAAAAGTAAGCGTACTTTGAACAGCTATATCGTCATGTATGATCTCAAAGCAGAATTACTCGGCAAAATTCAGCAGACGTATTGATTTTTACAACAAAGTCACTTCTACTTTCTAAATTGCACTTTTACGAACATCAGGTTACTCCAAATATAAAACGATACTTCGTTTTTTATTTTCAGTCAATTTTATAGCTATAGTCTCTCTTTATAGGTATTGTAATGAAACGATCTGTCATTAAATCAGTGAGATTTAAATAGAGTCGACAAATAAACATTCATTCCTCTTCCTTATTTCCAATTTACATACCAAGTCAGTAGAAATAGGATTAAATGCTCCAAATAAACAATGGCATCGCATTTCAAGAAATACGCTTTGCTCAACCATTAAATGCTATTATATGTATACATGGAGTCATTAAAACAACTTTTACAGTGCATAGAATTAGATGTTACTATGAACATGGAATGTAAACGTTATTCGAATACAGTATTCAATAATACGATTTTCTTAAATGTTGTAACAAAAACTGAACGAAATGTTCAAGCGAAAATGATTTTCTGTTACGAATTAAATAGTTTTAATATTTTTAGTTTGTGGAATTACAGTGGACTTGTTTTACTTTTGTGTTTATTTTTTTCTATTCTATTACGTATTGAATATGGCAGTTCTACCGCGAACACCTTGTATGGAGCTGAAAATTTATCGACGGTATGCCCCATACGCTTGCTTGGTCCAAGAAGTTAGATCTACAATGGCTGAAATAATTAGCCGTGGAATTACTAAATGGCAAAATTAACTGTTTGGATTATAATAGATTATCACCGGAAACATAACCAACATATCTCTGTAATATGAGAATTTCATATTCTGTTATAAACTTGGGTAGACGTTTATAGCTGCAATAAATATCTGCAATGACCATTCTAGGAATTGTACGTACTTTTGTCTGTTGTTCTTAATTATCTTGTTATAAAAACTTACAGTATACAAATTCTACGTCTAGTCTTTAAAAACTGCTAGAAAAACCCATGGAAATGACCGTTCAAATAGAATTTGTAGGAAACAGTTCTATAATTTGTTTGTTTCAGGTCAAAGAATTTCTAATCTCAATATGCCTAAGATCTTGCCTAACAGTACGTGTATAATTAAATTGGGCTTAGACTTACCCTAGTATACTTGCATATATTTTAATTTAAATATCCTAACAACAAAAGCACATACGAGCTTTGTCTCATTAAAAATATTTACAGCATTTAAATCTCTAGAGGGCAGTGACTTGCATATTTACATCCCACATTTGAGATCCAGTTGCTACATTTGGACTGCCGCGTTATACAAACAAGATTAAGATTAAGACTCATTAATCGCCACATATGTAATTAAGGTCAACCCACAGCTGTAATTTTGTCGCACAGCATCTCATTGTGAAGCAGGTTGAAAAATATGTAATATATAAGGGTGGGCGGCTTGCCTCTAGATATTTTATTTGCCTATTTTTGTATGTTTCAATGGAAAGTAAAAGTCTGCTCGTTTTCCATATTTATTAATTGCTACTGTTTACGCATTATTCAAACACTTTTTAACTGTTAGTTGATATTGTGAGATATAACTACTCCGCGGACTACAGTTCCGTTAACAGCTAAGGTCATTAGTCAGCAGAATCGCCAGACATAGACCGGCTTCGAAGTTATTAGTTAGAACGTCAGTATGACATAAATAGCTGATTGGATGTATGATACACTCAAGATAAATATTAACATTGTCAAGAAGAAACCAGTTTCCTGTAGCGTATTTACTTAGCACTAATCATAATGCATGACATTTGTGTACAAAGTGTTTCGTAGGATCCAGATGGTGTCCAAGCCAAGTAATTTAATTGCCTATTAATTTCCCCCGTTCTTTTATCAAACAACAACTACAAGGAATGAATATTTTATTGCACTTGGCGTATATCTCTCACTGTGAATGTCTGGCTTGAGTTTGAAAGGACATATTCCACAATTCCTTTGTATCACACGATACCGAGCTGTTTACTCGCTCCCTTAGCCATAAATTGATCGTTATGAATTTATGAAAACATGTTTTGAGAGATGACTTGCCATTTTCCGAGCATATTATTTGTCAAGGCATAGCAACATGTCTTCGTATAAAACTGCAGATCGATATCGTTGCATTATTAATTAAAGTTTTACCCAAATCCCACCGAAGGGCTCTTGACATACAGCGTGTTCTACGATATCGAGAAATACATAATAAATGAACGACGACAGAGTTGATTCCTTTGTTTGACGAAAAAACACCTGAAAAATTGAACAGAAGTGCTAATATTAAGTTTGTAAGTGAAGTTAGCAACGTGAGGTTTACTGAAAAATAATTATTAAGCCACAGTAAAAGAATCGATATTAAAAAAAATTGTGGGAACATTTTGGAAAGTGTCCATATTTAAGCAAAGTACTTATTTGATTAGGATTACACTGCTATAAATATAAGCACATACAATTTATGTTACGTTAGTACACTAATTTTTATTGGCATCTATTAAGTAAATTATGGACGCAGCGGTCGGCGGAGTAAAAGAGAAATTTCGATGGCTTTATCTGCAGCGAGAGAAACAGCTTCTCCGCCGGATGATAAATACTTCCAGATGCAGTTCTTTCCCAACAAGAAACGTGAGCGGCTCTGAAATATTGTAATCGCTTCTTATCACACATAGTAAGTCGGAAGTCGGTCGGGGAGGGGAATTAAAAGCCAGATGTTCCGAAAGCATCTAGTGGTCTAATCTTAGTAATGGAGACATTTCATTCAGGATGTTGTAGTTCTCTTCAAACAAAGTGGCCCAAATAAAACACACATTCAACTTTATTGTTAGGGTACAAGAAAATTACAAATGTTAAGTAAAGGCGTGGCACAGGATGACAATTTCTGTATTCGAAATATCTAAAAAATATATATACAATACGCGCTTAAACTATGGAAAAAATTCAGTAAAAACGAAATAATTTATTTTGGGAAAAATCCTCGAACAGGTCGATTTTTAATTTAAAAAATACATATTTTAGCATAAAAGGCGATTTTCAACCGTCATTTCTTTTCGAGTAACGACGTCATCGATATTTTATTTTTAAATATCAATACCCTATTTTTTTTCTTGATTCTGAAAGATCGTTTCATTGTCGATCCGACAGTATTAAAATGTTGCCATCTTACATATGAAAGTTTTCGATTAAATGACGATTGAATGTTAGAAAACGTAAATTTTATTCATTAAAAAAATAACAATTCCTATGTCAAGCAAACACAATTCATTAAGTTTTCTACCTAAATTCTTCTTGCACATTATGAATTATTTTTGGGGTAACTCTTTGTATTTCATCTATAATACCATTTTGGAGTTCTTCTAAATTATGTGGTCTATTAACGTACAATTTGGATTTTAAGTAGCCCCATAAGAAATAGTCCAGGGGTATAAAATCTGGGAATCTCGCGGGCCATTCCATCGGTCCACGTCTGCCGATCCACGTCCTAGGAAAACAATTGTCCAGAAAATCTCGAACAGGGCGCGCATAGTGCGGATGTGCACCGTTTTGCTGAAACCATATGGTGTCATCAGGAATATCAGGGTCATTATCGTTAGGAAAAATTACTGCATGCGCTGGAACAAGGTCATTTTGTAAAAACTAAATATCTTTCTCCTGTAAGGGTATCCTTCAAAGAAGAAAGGCCCTACTATTCTGTTGTCGACTATTCCAGCCCACACATTTAATTTCTATGGGTGTTGGGTATGTGTCTCTGCCATCCAATGAGGATTTTCCCGACTCCAATACCTGCAAGTTTGACGGTTCACTGTACCATTGAGACAAAACGTGGCTTCTGAAAAAAGTATTTGCCGGTGTAAATCTCTATTTACTTTATATAAATCCATCATAATTTTACAAAAGTGTAAGCGGCGGTCGGGATCGTCTTCATTGAGTTCCTGCACAAGTTGAATTTTATAGGGATGATATTTTTCCTACCTCAGGATACACTGTGGTCTAATTTCGTTGTTTAATGCAACCAACCTCGAGGTATTATAAGGATTATCTACCATACTTATCAAAATGTTCTGTTTGTGATCTTCACTAACGCTTGGACGTCGAGGTTTTCGAATATCTACAACATTGCCAGTTTCTCTAAATTTAGATTCTATCTTACTGACTGTTGATTGGCTGATACGGCGATCTGGATGTTTTTCATTAAATAAATCGCAAACTTCCTGCTGCCTTCTAGTCTTATCCCCGCATTAGATAAGAATTAAAATTTCAATTCTTTGTGTGACAGTTAAATGTGCCATAATACTTTAATTTCAACAATAATTTTTATATCGCTTACAATACTTAGAAA